TAGAAATTGTGACTGTGACTCACTGTAACAGAGTTGTGACCAACAAAAATTTTGATTTTTTCAATCTGTGACCTATAAAAAAATTTAATTCGTGGTGGAGAAATAATCCGTGACCATAAAATTCGGTGGTCACAAATGTAAAATTCGGTGGTCACAATATAAATTTTGTGATTGTGACGAATAAACAATTTGTGACCAATGAATTCAATAAACCGTGACGAGTACAAGTTGTGTGACCTAAAAATTACTAATTTGTGACCTAAAAATTATTAATTTGTGACCAATAAATTGATATTTGTGACCGTAAATAAGTATTGAGACTTACAAATTTTGTGATTTTGTGACCGATGAAAAAATTGCGACTTTAAAAATTTTAAGTTGTGATCGATGAACAAATTGTGACCTATGAAAATTTTGAATTGTGACCTAAAAAATTTTGTATTGTGACCAAATTGTATAGATCTGTGACCGTTATATATTTATTAATAAAATATATAATTAATTAAGTAATTCATAAATAAATTTAAATAAAAACCTGATTTTTGAAATTTAAAACATCAAACCTTAATTTTGAAATGTGTATAAGTAAAAACAGGATTTATGTATATTTCCCATAATATTATTCATTACTACTGGGGTTGAGCCTTCACCTATATAGTAATTACATGATATTAAATGATATATTCAATTAAATAAATTATGTGACTTTGTATATAAATGAATCTATCATTTGATATCGTGTAATTGCCACATTAATAACATTATTCTTTTAGAAAATATAAATAAATATTCTAGAATCTTCAATAGCAACTCCGTGAAAATCATTCCTCGTCAAACACCGAATGGACTACTAGTTTCCACGCAACAATGGCTGCTGTGACACGTGTCCTTTTCCCAATCCAATTTCAATTAGGATTACCATCCATAAATGTGTACACTCCATTAGTAAACTTCCAGAATTCTCTGCCATTTTCTTTTTAAAACCCAAAAAATTGAGGAGATTTTCGGTGTTCGCAATGGCTGATTTGAACAAAAGCACTGTTCTTGTTACAGGGGCTGGTGGCAGAACTGGTAAATAAAAATTATAAATTTTCTCTCTATTTTCAAGTGAAAGTCTTTACATAATCTGTATGTATATATTTGTGATATATAATTGGATCCATGTTTGAATTATGAGTTCTAATTTGCTTTTATTTGGATGTAGTTATTGCTTAGGGCTTTGGTTTTTACTGTATATTTGGAAAATTAGTGTTATGTTTTATCAGGAAGAGTAGAACACTGAAGAGATAAACATAATTGCAGACATTAGATGATCAATTGATATTATTAATTATTCTGAGACAATTACAGAATGATTTGATAAAATATTTATGCTTGTCATATGGATTACTAGATAGCTAACTACAAGCATACTTGAATTGATTCATCGATTAATTCAGCCAAACTAAGGTTTATATAAAAACCACATAGAAAGAAATCTACTTTCTTACATTTAGTTCAACTGCTCTAGGATCATTGATTGACTATCCAGATGAAATTTGTATAATCTTGAACTAAATTAGACAAAGGAAAAACATATTTATACTAACTGGTTTCTACATAATCCAGTTGGCCAAATTGTTTAATAAGCCTACTCAATCATTCTCCTTGTTTTGGTAACCAGATTATCTTTTGACATTATAGAAATTTGAATTGCCGATAAGATCTACCTCAATGGCTAAGTTAGACACTGGGACTACTTGTCTGGTTTAAAGAAACCATACAACTCTTATATGTTGGATTTTTGTTCTATTACCTGTATATATTTTAAAGTTTGTGCTTGGTCTAAGATATTTATTAAGAGATTGATTGTTCAGAGAACTGCTTATAATTTGTAATCTTTCATCTGTTCTCTCTTAGTGCTTGTTTCCCGCTTTCTCTGTTAATCTAACCACTTAGATATTGAATCAGTACTTTTTTTTTTTATTTTTACTCTTTTCTATTTCCTTATTCTTTGTTGAGTGTGTGACTTAAAGTTAATTGCCTTCTCTAACAATTTCTGAGTTTAATTACTTGAGTCTGAGGCTAACAATGTCTAAGACTATTAGACGCTCATATATGTTATCTTAGGAGTTATTATGACTCAATAGATAGTAAAAAACTCCAGTGGTACATTAGTTTGTTAGATTTAAAATTATTTAGAATTAAAACATGACCAGCTGTACAAAATTACATGTCCAAAATCCTTTTCCAACATTCTTATGCTTTTATTGATTGTTGCAGGACAAATTGTTTATAAGAAACTGAAGGAGAGGTCAGAGCAGTATGTTGGTAGAGGATTGGTAAGAACGCAGGAGAGCAAGGAAAAAATTGGTGGAGCTGATGATCTTTACATTGGGGATATAAGGACAGCAGAGAGCATTGCTCCAGCAATTCAAGGTATTGATGCTCTCATAATTCTCACAAGTGCGGTTCCAAAGATGAAACCTGGGTTTGACCCAGCGAAAGGTGGCAGGCCTGAGTTCTATTTTGAAGATGGAGCATACCCTGAACAGGTATCTATTATTGCTATTATTTACAGATTTGTATTTGGATTTCCTTGTGCCGGATCCATCTGATTTTAGCTTTTCTTTTTTAGGTTGACTGGACTGGGCAAAAGAATCAGATAGACGCAGGTGAGAACTTGTATTTGTGTACAGTTTCTAATGGCTTTTCTTTCGGTCTGTTGTATTAAAATTTGTAATATATGTGTTGAACAGCTAACGCTGCTGGAGTGAAGCAAATTGTTTTGGTTGGATCAATGGGAGGAACAGATGCAAACCATCCCCTAAATAGATTGGGAAATGGAAACATATTGGTAAATGCAAATATTGCCTTTTATTTTTTTCCCCTTATCTTTGATGTTACCCTTTCCCTTGTGACGTGGGGTTGTGGTTGGATCCCTTCATTTTGATTGTTCCACTTACTTTATTAACTCTTTTTTATTTATTTGTTCACTCTTATGTTTTTATTTCTTCTTTGTTCCCTCTTCTCATGGTTTTTTATACACGCCGCGGGTGTTAGATAATTTTTGAACTGCATCTCATGCAAATCAAAAATTTTATCTATCTCCTTAAAAAAAACAGTTCCCACAATAGTTGAAACTTGAAAGGAAAAGAAAGGGAAAAAAAGAACCTTCTTATTTGCACAGACTCGCTATACGAGTACACTTAGATGGAAGTGGAAACTCCATGGTGTAAAATTATGAGCAGAAAATGTCACTATAAGGGCCAGTTGTTATATCACTATGCATTTTCATAAATTTTTCACTGTATATTAATTAATATTTTGAGTACAGGTATGGAAGAGAAAGGCGGAACAATATTTGGCTGACTCTGGAATTCCATACACCATTATTAGGTATCCCATAATTTTACTTCTAAACCAAGTAAAGACTATACACGTGCTTATGTTTTTGTATTCAAATATTAGATGCAAGTAATTACATGTATATTTTATTGCAGTGGCTTTATAAACTTAGGATGCATGTTAGTTTCTTTTCCATTAATCTGCAGCAATACCTAGGAACTTGGATGGAACCATCATAGCATGCAGGAAATAATACATACATGGGTGTATGCAACCATGATTAATTTTTCTAACAAGATATGATTTATTAACAAGTAATGTGCATCAATTTTCCAACTTAAAGGATGTAATGCATAGAATTATAGTAGTTTGGATGAAATGGATAAGTGGTACAAGGGTTCAATGTCATCAGAACACGTTTATAAAGCTACAGAGCATGTTGTAGAGAAATTTTACTAGAGTAGATGTGCTTTGTGGTAGTGAGTGGTTGTCAACAACATGCAAAATGTCGACAGGCAGAAATGAGGACAATAAGGGTCCGCTTGACAAAGTTGTTGTTGGTAGACCTTCTAGTTGATGCGGGACAGCTCAATTCTCAATTGCTTCAAAAGCAGTAAACAGCTCTTTATCGGAACACACGTGTCTCGTAGCTTTGGTGTCAATCCATCACTCTTTTGGGTTAGAACTCACCATGTTCACTTCTGAAATAACGGCTGCGAGATTCATTTCGGATACATCATGTGCCATGTAATCAACCGCATTTGCTTCTTTCTTTTTCTTTGCGAATCTGCACTCTGAAGACTTGTGACCTACTTTGTCACGATTGAAGCATTTTCCTTGAAACTTCCTTTTGGAAATTCCACCTTTAGGTCCTAGCTTAGTCCCTTTGCCACCGGATGACCGAGGCTTAGTTTTGTAGGTCTTACTGTTTTGACCATGCTACACAACATTAGCTTTAGCAATACTAGGATTAAACAACTTCTTCTTGGAACTCTTGTTGTCTTCTTCAATTCAAAGTCTAATAATTAGTTTTTCAATGTTCATTTCCTTTCGTTTGCGCTTCAGATAATTCTTGAAGTCTTTACACGCGAGGGGCAATTTTTCAATAATTGCAACCACTTGGAAAGTTTCACTCAACATAATCCCTTCAGCATGAATTTCATGAAGAATCAGTTGGAGTTCTTGCACTTGACTGATTACTGTTTTGGAGTCCACCATTTTATAATCTAAGAATATGCCGACAATGAACTTTTTAACCCCAGCATCATCAGTTTTATATTTTCAGTTCAAAGCTTCCTACAACTCCTTAGGAGTTTTTATAGTACTATACACGTATAGCGAGTTTGCTAAACTGTACATAATGTAGTTTCGGCAAAGAAAATCCGAATGGTTCTAAGCATCAAGTGCACTGATCGCTTGAACATCTCCTTCACCCTCATTGAGTTTTGGAGCACTTTCAGTCAAGAATCTCGCAAGATTCAAGGTGGTCAGATAACATAACATTTTCTGATGCTATCTCTTGAAATTCAAGCCATTGAATTTTTTCGATTTTTCTCCATGATTAATTGGAACATTAATGGTATGGCCAATTGTTTGACTCACAACATGACTTGGCAATCTAGCCACAGTTTGAGCCACAACAGAACTTGGCCCTTCAGCCACAGCAGAGCCTACAACTTGATTTTCATTAGCCACAGTTTGAGTTGGTTGATTCGGTTGCCATTTTTTCGCCGTCGTCGTAGTTTCCTTATAAACAAAATGAAAAAACTTATCTATAATAACGAATCTGTTTTAAGTTTGTTAGATAAATGTTTAAATACTAGATACCGGATTTCCACACTGAATACCGTATTTGCAGGACAGATACTGTATATACAGTGAATTTTAACATTGGATTTTCACATACTATTTTTGCATGTAATTTTGAATATTACAAATTCGATTATATATAATAGATTTAAAGAGAACAACAAAATATCAATATGCAAAAACAAGTAACAAACAAGGAAAAAACGAATTAAACATTTGAACTTTTAACCCGAGGCCTCTGTTATACACAGTTTCCTTAAAACAGGTTCGCCCCCTCACCGTCTGTGCTTGACGTTTAACTTGAGCGTTTGTTTCTCAAGATACAACGGTAAACCTGTAGAGTCCGAGCACTGCAGATTCTACTCCGGTGAACTGACTTAGTGTCTAAACAATATCACCATCAAGACCTTGACTGACAATAAAATATGTATGCAGATAGAGGACAATTTTGTGTGTTTTGAAACTATAATGCAGACTGTATTCTTCATGTCTAGAATAGTGGAAAATGAGGTTTTATATAGACTTAACCCCATTAAATTGTCTATAACTCAATGACAATAATTATTGGAGTTTCAGAAACCAAAAATCATGGCAATAATCATTGGAGTTTCAGAAACCAAAAGTTATGGTAATAACGATTGGAATTTCAGAAACCAAAAGTCATGGCAATAACCATTGGAGTTTCAGAAACCAAAAGTCATTTGTTGAAAGCAAAAATGTTGACAAAAAGTAGGTCATCCTAAGGAGCAAATTTTTGGTCAATTCAGTCCAACATTTGTGTACACAGGTCGTGCCCTCACACAAGTTTAAGATCCTAAACCTATTTTGGTCTATGATTTGCACCCTCCTGCGCACGCACGTAGAGAGAGCCTCTATACTACACATAATTACACTTCTAAAGTGGTTCTTGCTTTCATAAACTTCCTGTGTGGGATAAACTCAAATTGAGTTTTCCTTCCAACATAAACCATATTTTGATGGTCCACTTTGAACTCCAATTTCTCATTCACCCGAGCTTCTTTTTTTTGACAAGTAAATACATGATTTCGATGTATTCACGGAGGGGAAAGCAAATCAATCTTTATCTTCCAAAATAGCCAAACGGGTCTCACTCAAAACTCATGCCAAAATCAGCCACATACTCATTTTTCCAACACAAGATTCATCTGTTCCCATGGGACATCATCTTCCATGTACGGCCAAATATTTGGAGGAGTTTTAGAATTGATTTTGTCATTCCTGTTTGAAACTCTCCCAATCTGCATGGAGATTAAAAGGAAGAACTGCATATTCTTGAACATATGAAAAATGATCGTAAGTTCCAATTTTTGTAAAGTATTCTTGTCTTTGGAAAGAAAAATGGCATGAAGAATCTCTTGGGAAGTTTTTAGATTTTTGAACTGCGAAGAGAATCCTATAAAACCATCTTAAAAATTTGCGAGAATATTCATGGTTTTCTGACCACTCGTGAAACCCATCAGTCATTTGCAAAAACATGTTAAAAAGTGTTTTGTTCACATGGAAATTAATTGCTTATAGTTTTAAGTTTCTAGCAAATGCCACGAGAAGCATAACAACTCTTTTGGAAAAAACACTTGGAGATTGATAGGTTAAATGTGGAAGAAAACCTAGTCCTCCTAAGTTGAATTCCAGTTTTCATAATTACCAAGGACTGGTATTTAAGCATCAGTTCTTTGGTTCTGAAACGGAGTTCTGGTTCCGAGGAGAGAAAGAAGTTCTGGAGGAAGATTGTTGATGATTCATCATCCAAGCAATAGGAATGTGGATAGGATAGACATATCATAATTTTGGTCTTGAGGGGAGATCTTTCACCTTTTATGTGTTCAACATCAAAGTAGAAGTTTGAAAACTATTTAGCCCATCGGAGAAGTTGATTTGGAACTTGTTTATTTTTTAAGGTCAGCATTCTTTGAAATGCGGAAATGTTCATTTCTATCAAAAAAAAAACAAAAAAAGCTAGTGGTAGGAACTTTTCAATTTCTCTTTTGATTGCAAGAATTTCCTTGAAAGTGGAATGGTAACGGTGTTCTGAATCTGAGAAAGTCCCATATTTATAACTGCATGCTCATTCTATTTTCATTTTTATCTTCAATCAAAACTGCTGCCTAAAAAGAATCACTAGGCATCTGTTTGGAGAATTCATTTTCCATCATTGAGAAGGCTGGAAATCAACTGATTTTTTGCTTGGTTTTTTAAAAGTTCTAACCAACTTGTGGTTGGAGAGTGTATTGACCATCTTTAATGTGCATGCCCAATAATTCCACTTCCTGTACAATAACCATCTTCTCTGAGATAACGTGAATCCGAACTGTTTAATAATCTTAGAGAATTGCTCAAGTAACTGAACATGATTATGTTCTGAATCAGACAAACATGTCATCAATATAAATCAGGCCACTTTTCCGCGAGGTTGAAAGATTTAAATCATTGCTTTTTAAAATAAGGAGTGGGGCTCTTTTTAGTCTAAGCGGCATTTCGTCTGCCGGTAATGATGATTTGGAATGCAAAACCCAATTTTTTGTCTCTTCAGGGTGAATTCCCAATTGCCAAAAACTAACATAATAGACTCTTGAAGGAATGGTTCCTTATAAAGTAACTGAAGGAACCCACAGAATTGGTACACTCTAGAAGGATCCAAGTTCCAACCAGGACCCACGATTTGCTACAGATTCTTTTGAAGACTTACCTCTACGCAGTCGAAGATAAGACCTGGTGGCACTGACATGGTCTACCATGTAACTCAAATAAAGAACCAGCACAAGCAAATCTGAGAACATCGTGACTTTGTTGTCCTCAGATTCCTACTACCATAAATTGTTATTTTATTAAAAATCTATCCATTTTGTCGTATATTCTTTGCATAGCAACGTATTGTGTTGTCAAAAATGCAGATTCTTTTTGCTTTAAATTTTTCATCTACTATAAAAGTAGATTTCTACTTTAATAAAAATAGTATCTTAGTACGTATTAAAATATTGTGGGAATAGAATGGTCTCGCCTCTATATAAATGGGGTTTCTTTTTGCTTGTAAAATGATTGAGTGTTTGAATAATACAAAAACTAAGAATTTACGAGTTTCTGAAAGTCTTCTTTCATCAAGTTTCTACAGGAGAATAGGTAAGGGTTTAAACATAGTAGTACGGACTAGTATGGTCTTCCCCTCTGGTTTGCCACCGAGATTAGTTCGGATGTGGTCACAGCTTATACACACTTAATCCGGACAATAGACAGTTCTCTTCCCTGTGGACCTCTACCTACCAACATAGATGTTACCTTCCAACATTTAAATGTTGACTTTCAGCTGTCGTGGGGATTCGAACCTTCGATGCTCCGTAGAGAACCCTCCTGTTTTACCACTGCGCCATGCCTGTGAGGGCCATCGCAAGCCCTTTATTATTCCTTTTGGGCTAGAAATATCTTAACTATGGTTGTGTCCCAGTTTAGGTGAAACCAATTGAAGATAAATTAAGGAGAGTGCTAACTCAGAATTTATTGAGAATAAAACTTAGTTTATTATTGTGCTTTATTAACTATATATAAACCTTGTGTGCATCAAGATGTGTGGAATGTTCATGCTCGTTAATGTTTATTTTAATTGTTGAACTACATACGGTTTTTTCCTGCTTTACTCGATTTGCTTAATAACAACTAAAGTTTTGAGTTCCTAAATGCTCTTCATGTGAGTGGACTTATTGTGTTTACATGACAAAAGGATCTTAATTTCCTTTAGCAAATGCTGCTAAATAATTGTGAGGTTTTTTAGGAAAACAAATGAAAGATATACTCTCTTCTTGGACTAGGTTCCTGATTTTTGAATCGAACAATTCAATTTATTAAAAAAAAAAAATTATTTATCTTGGGTTCCATAGGTAGATGTTGATACTTCGATTATGCTCAATTCAGACTCACCGAGATTACCGTTGTTTGGTTTTTCAATTATTTCGTATTTCTTCATTACCTACCTACTTTTCATAATTTTGGTTGGTATAGGGCTGGTGGTTTGCAAGATACAGAAGGCGGTGTAAGAGAACTGCTTGTTGGAAAGGATGACGAACTTCTTAAGACTGAAACGAGGACTATAGCCAGAGCAGATGTTGCTGAAGTCTGCATTCAGGTAAAAGTATTTATTCGGGTTTGAAAAATCAAAATTCTACATGCACAGTTGCTTAATCTTTGAGCTGCTCAAGTAATCTCAGTAAACTGGAGAATTTTCTCAACGACAGTGATCTTATGAACAGGCACTAAACTTTGAGGAGGCAAAATTTAAAGCATTCGACCTTGCTTCAAAACCAGAGGGGACTGGCACACCGACGACGGATTTCAAGGCTCTATTTTCACAGATAACTACTCGTTTTTGATTAACTAGCGGAAGTTATTTATCCAGTCATCTACACTTGTGGCCTTTGAGAATTGTGTTTAATTCCAGATTTGTTTTGATTATCTAACTGGGACACACGAATAGATGAAAGATAATTTCTTTTTCCATGGCCTCATGCCGTCAGTGTTTCTTGTTCATCAATGAAAACGTATTGGAAATGATTAGATATGGATTAGTTATCGTGTGAAAAAATTTGCTACAAACCTTTCAATTTCGATTTTTATTTTAAAATTAGGCCTTGTTTGATAAGCCATTTTTTCCATGGAAGTCGGAAAAAAAATTCAATTTTCTTGCTTTTAGGTTGTTTGATAGGCAATAATTTCTAGGCAAAATTTTGCAATCCCCACGCGCCCTTATTCCTTGAATTGAGGGAAAGCATTTTCCCACCATGTTGGTGGGAAAATGCAATTCCAAGTTTTTTTTTTTTTTTTTTTTTTTTAAAAATGGAAAAAATTTTTTGTTGGTATTTTTTTTTTTTTTTTTAGACAATGGAAACAAATGTCATAACTCGATTAAAAAAAAATTTCACTTTAATGGACAATTTTCATGTAAAATAAAGTCAAACGAATACTAAATTTTGATAAAAAAAAATAATTTTTTAGGAAATTTTTTTTTTTTCACTTTTTGGCAATGGAACAAATTTTATAATCAATTGTGAGAAAAAAAATATCACTTTAATAGATAATTTTCATATAAAAAAAAGTCAAACGAACATAAAATTTAAATTTTTCAGGTGGAAAATTATATTAATCAAACATACTTAATTAACAATTATCTGTAATACAATTTTTAGACAATTATTTTCTTTGAAATTCATTTTCTTTTCACCCTTATAATCAAACGGACCCTTAAATTTGCAGTCACAATGATAACTGTTACTTAGAATGACGATTGAATTATCCTAATATAAATCTGCGTTTATAAGCTAATCATTCAACTGTCGGTTGACATAATCACTCTAGCTAATCTGACTGTTGATTGTTAATAATTTGGTAGATCATATTTATTGCAGCTAATTCACAACCAAGAAATCATGCAAGAAACAAATGCTTAAGAGCAATTTCCTATGCGACCATAAATTACTTTTAAAAGATTTAAAAGAATTAATGCTTAAAAATAAACTTTAAAAGCATATTCAAGAGATTTTCTATTTTTAAAGAATATATTTTACAATTTAAAGAGTATTTATAAATTTAGAGAGAAAATTGTTAAGTACTTCAATGGTCTCTTTATATTTAACATTTAATTTTACTACTTTAATGAAATATTTATTGTTTTTTCTATCTTTTATTTTCACCATTTTTCTTCAAATTATTATATTATTTTCCTACATTGAAAATTGAAATACTTTAAATGCATTTAATTATAGAGAGTATATTTGGCTCTCCAAATTTAAAGAGGCACTTACTCTCTAAATTAAAATACTAATTTAAAGAGTTTCTTGGAGCATAATTTTAAGGATTGATTCTTTATTTCAGCTCTCTAAATTTAGAGAAATAGAGTCTATTCGATTGACTTTATTTTTCATGAAAAATGTCATTTTTTTACCCAAATTTAACTTTTGGGATGTTTGATTGACAATTTTTTCATGAAAAATATTTTCCAACTTTTGGTCACGTGACCATTAACAAATAAAAAATTTGTTAAATTAAAATATAAGGATAAATCAATAAATATTTCTTGATATTAGGAAATATTTAGACCTAAACGTATGGAATTAACACACTAACAAGAAACAAGTCACTTTTATTATCTCTAGATGATTAAAGTAATTAATCCAATTAACCCTAAGTTTAAACAATCAAATAAACATATATAGCAAAAGCAATAAAGTAAACTAACACTAGATATATTCATGGAGGAAAAGCCCTTTTCATGATGAAAAACATCCGGGTAAACTTGTAACAATTAGTTTAGATACCACTAAACTTTAGTTGATTATGGCCACCTAACTTGTAAATCGTCGAAGAACTCTTTGATTATGTGACTCGCACTTTCGAGCAACTCTGAGCTACTTTTCCCTCCGTGTGATCATCAAAAGTGAACTTGTTCCGGAGCGTTGGAGCTTCAAGTGCCTCTCTCCCAACTTCAGAACTCTGAATGTTATAGGTGAAGGTAAGACTTTTGGTGTTTAATATTTAGATCTTTCTGTGTTTTGATCTGTAGTGATGCAAGAGATGTATGAATATGAATTTGATCTTCAATGAATATTCTCTTGACTAAAATTAAGGCTCAACCAATAAAAATATGTTTGGTATGAATATATGAATCAATAATCTTGAGCTTGAATAAAGAGATATTGGGAATGTGTAACTCATCTTAAAAAATTCACTATAATGAAAATAATGTTCAACCTCATTTAAAAACGTTTAATGGCTTGAATATTTATAATGGGTAAAGTTTGGAATTGAAAATGATTGAGAAATAGTTGTTTCAAACAACTAGGATTTCTGTTCGTCGCACCATTGCTTGAGTGTTAGCCGGACCTAGCGAGCGGTAAACCCGTCGCTCGAGCGCCAAGATCGTGTGCAGTGAAAGTGACATTCATGTTCTGAGCGCTCGAGCGCTCAATGTGAGGCCAACAAGGGATCATCTTTTCGTTTATTGATCTACTAGAATGTCTTTAACTCCTTCTAGGACTCTACCAACCCTGACTCTTTCGACTTTACTTATAACTCAAAAAACCATGTTATTGGATACGAATATAACTAATTACAATTAGGACTTAACAAATTCTCCCTTTAACATTCCGTGACGAAATCTTTTATTTCAAAGTCAAAATCAAAACAATTTACCTAAAGACTCAATTCCCAAACATCAATTCAAATCTTGTTAGACATGTTTTCTGAAATATACGAAGACAACAATATCACGTGAAAAGAGGAAACTGACAATTACAATATATAACCAAGTCATAAAAAAAAAACGCAAGTACAACATCTGTAACACCAAAGTATGTAATATTACATGCATCAATAACTTAGAAATAAAATATAGAATATTAATATCAATGTTGACAAAATACTAAACACAATATCAACATTAAAATTCCAACTTGGAATCAATCAAAATATCTATGACTTCCTCTAAGTCAAATATCTAAGAAAAAAAAAATATCAACTTCTATTGTAACTTGTATACTACTCTACTTAACTCTCCTAAAATAAATAAATAAATATTCTATTTCCATTTTTGTCATGAATAACAAAGGGAAACAAGTAATAGAAACTTGAATAACACGGAGATTAATGAGTTAATAACAATGCACATGAAAAATTTATGCAAAATTATGCAAAACATGTAACAGGAGAATAAAAAAAAATTTGAGATAAATATTTTTCATGAAATTTTAAATATAATATCATGAACAGTTTTTTGCTTTCTTATACATATATAATTAATAAACAATGAACTTTTTTCACATAACCTGTTTTAAACATATATAGAGTAAATTTTATAAAATTGTTTCGCATGGATTATCGAGCCTCGCTAACAATTAAAAGATGATTCAGACGATTGTGTAAGGAACAAACCTCTCGAGACAAGGTCCCAACGAGTGATACTTTATTTATGAAGGTTACAATTAGGAAGAAGCAAAACATTTCCAAGGAGCACAAGCACACAAAATAATTTGAAAGTTGACAATAAGAACTAAACAAAATGAAATTACATAATTCTCTGTTTGAGAGTGATTGATTCGGGATCCTCATTCCATGTCTTTTTTTTTATATACTCATTTGCCAGTTTTCCTTGTAAAATTGTTTGGACTTGTCGCTCTATAACTACCCACTTGCTTCATAATAGCTGACGTGTCAACGAACCGTCGTTTTTAAACTGCTGCTATTACTCCCCTTTTTTAACTACTTGCAACCGAGATTCTTGGATCGTGGAATATGATAAGATTGTTCAATAACTGTTTCAATAACCGTCGCTTTAAATAACAACAAGACACTATATTCATTCAGATCTTGGGCGTCTCGAAGGCTTGGGCGAGAATGGGACCATCGCTTTGAGCGACAATAAAGTACTTCATTCGCTTAGATCCTGGGAGTCCGCAGGATTGGGCGATGATAGTCCTCCGTTTATGGGCCTCCACTATATTTTACAATAGTCTCATTTGGGTATATCCCTCAAATTCCCTAATTTGGGCTTCATTTCTTGGACAATTTAATTGGGCCTCATTTTTGTATGTCAACAATTATCCCCCAATATGGCAAAATTAATATCAAGTATTAATTTTATGTCATATTCTTCCTTTGTATTTTCTGGCAATACTTGAAATCCCAAAAGGGCGGAGAATTCCAACTATTATTTCCGTTATCGGTAACCATCTACATCCTAAAAAGTGTAATATCACACAACCTCTATAAACCAAAGGACACACAACTTTATCGCGCTATTACACCCATGTCTTTACATTGCGGGTTTCCCTCTCACTGTTCACTGTTCATCTTCTTGCTTCTTTGCTATGCTTCTTAAGCAACCTTTACAAAGACTGTATTTTGTATCAAATGGGGACTTCACAAACTCCTTCCGACAACTCCCTTAGTTTCAAGGATTTTCAAAACCTCCTTACCAAGCCTTATATAAATTCAACTTTTCTTTCACCAGCCAACCCTGACCTCCATGAATATTATTTGGGTCAGTCGTTTAATGATGCTGAATTTGTTAGGCAAGCGGCGGTGGGTCAGCTATTCACATGCACTCAAGACCCTCATTTTCTGAACTCTCAACCGCTAAAACCGATCCATGTAGAGATGTTAATCGAGCCGCTCGGCTCGGCCGCTCGACCGCTCGGCTCGTATTTTTCATGCCCACGAGCCGCTCGGGCTCGTCAAAAGACGAGCCCAAGCTCAAGCCGAGCGGAGGCGAACGCTCGTGGGAACGAGCCCACGAGCCGACCTCGTGGGCTCGTGAAAAAACATTTAAAAATCATGGATGAAGTGAGCACATTCTTGCCCATTTGGGATCAATTCTTGA